GGCGAGGTATACATATCCTACAGATGCATTTTCAGCAGGAGGCGCCTGCAAGCAGCACGCACACAGAGCCACGCGGTGTCTGTCTGTACACCCCAAAGAAGCTACATCAACACGAACCCGATGAAACTTCTGCAGCTTCAGTTGCTCAACAAAAACAGAATTTCAAGTGGAAAGCGAGCATTAAAGGCCGAGATTCCTGCGGTCACTGGCATGTGGTGGATACGGCTGCAGATGCAGTGAGACATTCTCTGTAGGTGGGCGTAGATTCGTGTATAAATAAGAGGTTAAATAAATAAAAATTGGGTTTCAAAAGGAATTAAAAGTAATTATATATGTTTTCCCTAATTTATATATCGATATAACCCACCCAAAAGTAGCTTAGCGGTGTTTGTTCTGGCTGTGTTTCCGGTGCCGCCTCCGGTGTATGTACACTGCAGGCCGATGCGGTTCTTGAGCGGCTCATGGTGGCGACGGGGGCCGTCCTGTACAGATGCGGGGAGAAAGATGAATGAAATTGCAGACAAATTGCGGGAAAATGCTTTTATTTTATAGAAGAATATTATTTGCGAAAGAGGCACAAAAAAAAACAAACAAAAAATCACTCTGCCTCGCTTCCTGTCGATGCAACCAAACGCCGCCGCCACTGCAGCGATCCGTCATGCAACTTGCCGTAAATTTGAATATCAATGAGGGAAATACATTTAATTTAATTTATTTTAAATATATCAATTTGAATTTTCAAACAAAACAAACGGAAACTTCTGATCCCCCCACCAGCCTCGCCGCCTTGAGCGCACCACCGTTGTTGCGGCGGCGGTTCGTCAGGCGGCGTTGGCCCCCCCCCCCCTCTCCTCTCGTGTTTTGTTTGTATGAGTTGTTTTCAAAGCCGAAATATATATTTCTGAACGAACTTATTGATTTATAATTTCAAGTTTTATTGTTTTTCGCGTACATACACCCGAATTCATGTCTGTTTCTCCGGCAGATTTCAAATACAGATCGGCTGTCGCCGCAACGCGCCGGTGAACACGAGAGCGACTCCTCTTCTTGAATTTGAGTTTCTTTTGCAATATTTTATTTTAATAAACTTAAAAATTAATTTAATTTATTTTTAGCGGGCTGAGGTTTGCTGCTGAGCTACAGAAGGACGATGCAGCCCACTGAACCGCAGTGTATACGGCGGCAGGGATCCTCACCAGCATCTTCTCCGCTGCTTTTATAAACTGCATTTTATTTAATTTCCACTTTAAATAAACTAATATTCTAATTTTAAATGTAGATACATCTATCCTAGTCACGAGTTCTCAGCTCTTAAGCCACGCAAACCCTCACCATACAGAAACCCTAAACCCTAAACCCTGCGTAACGAAACCCTCACAACTTAAGTGAGTACACTTTCATGGTCAACTGCAGCAAAAGAGCAGCAAAATATCTCTTTCATTCATTGGAGTAAAGAAAGCTGCAGCAGGAGAAGCAGCAGCAGCAGATGCTGCAGCAGCAGCGAGAGCTTTCTACCGTGTCAGTATAGAGAAGCTCAACCCTCGCCGCTATCTGCATCTGCTTCTGTTTTTTTTTTGTCTTTGTTTGAATTTGTGTTAATAAAACCCTTTCTTTGTTTGCTGATACATGTCTGTGATTCCTTCTATCTTTAGGGTTTAGGATCTAGGGTTTAGGGTTTACATAAACCCTCGTTTCTGCTGCTTCAGCTGTCTGTACACCCCAAAACGGCTGCTGCTCCGTCACCATCAACCCTAGGGTTTAGGGTTTAGGGTTTTGTGTGTTGTTTGTTTTTGTTTTGTTTTTATTTATAATTAATTTGTTTATTTATATTTGTATATTTGTTGTTATTTCCATTCCTCGTTATCTCTGGTGTTGTTTAATACAAACAAACAAACGGATGCAAGTAAACCCGAAACAAACAAACAAATACAAACAAAAACAAACAAACAAAAACAAACAAAAACAGAGAAATAAAAACAAACAAAATAAAATAATTTTTATTTCTTCTTTCTCGCTCCTGCTAGTGCTGCTGCATCCACCTTCGTGCTGACCACTGACATTGCCTTCGCCCGCCCATCCTAAGAAAAAAAAATAAAAAACAAATAAAAAAAATAAATAAAAACAATAAATAAATATAAATAAACAATAAATTAAAACAAATAAAAATAAAGCTGTAGTTAAAACAAAAAAAAACAGAGTAAATAAATTAATATAAACAGAAAAAAATAAATACGAAACACAGAAAAGAGCAAAAGCAAGAAGTACAAATACATACGAGCATTTACTAATACTGCGCTGCTGTTGCTGTTACTGCTGCTGCTGCTGCTGCTGCTGTCCCTGCTGCTGCTGCTGCTGCTGCTGCTGTTGCTGCTGTTGCTGCTGCTGCTGCGTTGCTTACGGGTATTTTGATTAAGATTCGGACGTCGTCTTCGATTTTATCTAAGATGAAATATCCCCGTCTCTCAAGCTGTAGCTTGTCGCCTGCATGCAAAACCCTAAACCCTAAACCCTAAACCCTAGCTTTCTGGTGAGGGAGAGAGAGGGAGCCCCAAGCCCCAGCTGCAGATCCTTTGTGTGTGCTGACCGCATTAGGGTTTAGGGTTTAAGGCTAAGAAAGGGTTTGGGGTTTAGGGTTTGGAGAGCGTCTAGGGTTTACTGTTTTGGTAGGGTTTAGGGTTTACAAAGGGTTTAGGGTTTAGGGTCTAGGGTTTAGGGTTTACACAGAGGGTTTAGGGTTTACTGTTATTTTAGGGCTGAGAAGGATTAGGGTTTTGGTTTAGATTAGGGTTTATAGAAGGCTTAAGATTGATTCTTTTATTAGGGTTTAGGGTTTAGAGAGAATGTAGGGTTTAGGGTTTCGTTAGGGTTTAGGGTTTATTAGGGAGTTAGGGTTTCGGGTGTTTTATATAATTAAAGCTAACGATATATCCAGGGTTTAGGGTTAATTGCATCGTTAGGGTTTAGGGTTTACACAGAGGGTTTAGGGTTTACACAGAGGGTTTAGGGTTTAGGGTTTACACAGAGGGTGTAGGGTTTAGGGTTTACAAGGGTTTAGGGTTTAGGGTTTGTTGCGTGCCTGGTTTAAGATTTTTAAGGTTTGGGTCTCCGAGTGCATGGGTTTCAAAAAGAGTTTAGGGTTAATTGCATCGTTGGGGTTTAGGGTTTACACAGAGGGTGTAGGGTTTAGGGTTTACAAGGGTTTAGGGTTTAGGGTTTAGGGTTTATTGCGTGCCTGGTTTAAGGTTTTTAAGGTTTGGGTCTCCGAGTGCATGGGTTTCAAAGAGAGTTTCTTTGTTTATGGCGGCCTCAAACCCTTCATCGTTTTCTTCTTCTGCTTTCTCTGCTTTCATCAGGTGGTCGTATTCTCTCAATATTAAATGCGTTAGCTGCGTATACACCCCAAATATACACACATTAGTAGCTCCATATACACCCCAAATATATAATAAGGAGCTGTATATACACCCCAAATATATATACTTAAGTAGCTGCATATACACCCCAAATATACACACATTAGTAGCTGCATATACACCCCAAATATATAAGAAGTAGCTGCATATACACCCCAAATATATACACACAAGTAGCTGCATATACACCCTAATTATATACACATTAGTAGCTGCATATACACCCCAAATATACACACATTAGTAGCTGCATATACACCGCAAATCCACCACAAAAAGAAGCAGATACAGCAGCCTAATAAAAAAATAAATAGAAACAAACGAAACAAACAAATAAATAAATAAATAAATAAATAAATAAAATAAAAATAAAAAATAAAAAAAAATAAATTACTTGTGTTGATGAATCTGCTGGTAGCTTCGGCACCCAATGCAACTTTTTTGCCGTTTTTTTTACATCTCCCTCCAAATATATTTTTGCTTTTATTTTCTCAACTTTTCCCTCTTTTGTTTTTTTTATCTCCTCAAATATACAATTGCCCCAGTGCATTAAGGTCACCTAAATTAAAATAAAAACAAATAATATAAACACAAAAAAAA